GATACTTTTCCAAATTTAACGAATTTCACTTTAAAGCTGCCAGAATACGTTTCTTCGTTCGATCTTGCTTTCGTGTCTTTTTTGAAAGCCTTTCCCTTTGAAATTTACGATGTTTTTTTACTTATTTGCCAACCGTTGACTTCAAATATGTTTATGGAGAAGCAACTATAATTTTTGACCCCATCAGGCGCTTAGACATTTTATTATGTTGTTCATTGTGCTACCACTTATTCAATTTTTCNTCAAACTTCAAATGTAAAGGTATTCATTCAATAGGTGGCGTTCTGGGACACATACATACCTTGAAAGACGGACCGAAGTCATTTAACCTAATTTTTAAAATTAATTTTAGTAGCAAAAAACTTATACTTGAAATTAAAAAGTATAATTTCAAAAATAACATAAAATTTAAATTTTCATTTCTATTTTTATTTTCCTATTTTAGTAAACCAAACTTAATCTACATACATGTCAAATGATCCCTATCTGGCAATCAATTATGAAAATGGGTTAAACGTAGTACATTGTCTTAATTTCAAAATAAATTGTTTTTCTACAATTGTTCTTTAACGTTAAAAAATCAAGTAACCTTCTACGCTATTTATATCACTTCTTGTATTTGTATGTTGTTGGCAACTCTGCTCACGCAAATTGCATGTATCATCGCCTCACCCGTATACTGTGCGCTCCGGTCAAATGGTGCGAGTACTAACTAAGTGCCAGTATATGCAAATCTTAAGTAATTTTAACTCGGAGCAAATTGCAATGCATACCTGCCAACTGCTGTGTGCCCATACATATTGGCATACATACTAACATGTGTACATTGCACGACTAGCTGTATTTGTTTTCACTACCTACACACCACCCCGTTCGCATACTACAACAAATTTCAAAAAAAAAAAAAAATGTTTGCGCCCAACCCCACTCACTTAAATACCTACTCAACAAACTTCACAACTCTCGCACTCCTCTTTGTGGCATAAAAACCACAATGGCAGACTGTTACGAATGCGGAAAGTCAGTCGTGTGTCCACTAAAGGATATTGGTTTGATTTTATTGCGGCCATCAGTTTCATGTTTCATATGCATTTGTACTTACATACATATATACATACATACATACATACATAAATATGTACGAGTACGTATCTAAATATGTACTACTTAGTAGATACATGTACTCCACTTCACCTCGAGGTACACAGAGGCCAAGTGCAGTTCTCGACGCAGTTGGTGTAGCTGGCTTAGTTGTCATCGTTAGATGTCGTTGTAATTGTTGTTGTTCTATGTAGTTGTAGTTGTAGTTGTAATTGCATTAGTGTAGTTGATGTTCACTTCGGTTGTTGTGTACTGTAGTGGTGACAAGAGGCGCACTACTGTAAGTTATTCCTTATGTACCAATGATACATTTTTATATACGATTACCAAATTCGGCAGCCTGGGGATGCATTTATTTTCGCTGCTGCAGCAACACGGCTTCACTTTTCGGTCATTTCTCTCTATTGCCATTTCATGTGGGTTCGTTGGGCGATTGGTGCACGAGAGCGAGCACACTTGTGTTTGATGTGAGCATTGATGCACTTGTCTTCGTTTGGTCCAACTGGCCTGGAGCTTAAGTCAATGTTGGTGATATGCATACCATTTATGGTTTTAAGTTTTTTCTACTAAAATACTTAATTTATACCTGCTAGTAATGAATTTTTGTATGTTTAGCCAACTTAATGATTCCAATTGCATCTTTTGGTTTTCTATTTAGAAAGCGCTTACATTTGCAGTCTTATTCGCCTTGTTGGCTGATGTCTCTCAATGCATCCGTTTGGACTGTTCTATTTATGGGGATGTTGTTGGTAGTAATTTCTTCAGCTAAACACTCAGCTGAACTGAGAAGAAATGTTTCCGTTTTGCGTGCTCTGAGAATTCGCAACACTAGCTCCATGTCTAGCATCTATTCAAGTGTAGGCGAGCGAGAGGGAGAGAGGTGAGTGCGTACATATTTGCACTCGGTGGCTTACTCAAAAGAAGTATAATACAACCCTTGACGCAACGCATCCTCGAACAAATAGCTAGGCGGCTAGCTACAGTGACTTTAAATATATTTTGCTGAAATTAAAATAACTTGAGAAATTTGAGGATACTCATGCTTTAGAAAATGCTTACATAACTTTTCCGCTAAGACAATGACAAGTCTGTTAAATATTTCGTGTATTCAACAAGAATTGAACAAAATGATTCTCCACGATCTAAGTATTAAGTATAGTAATCCGATGTCCACCTTCGCCTCTCTCAGCAGCGAACTGTTGACAACAGTAGAGTCCAGAGTAGAAAGAGGGGTCTTATTTGTACAAACAGTCAAGCGACAATGTGAACGCAAAAACTTTATAGGTATTTGCGCAGTCTGATTCAAAAGAAATCGGTTTTTGTACATTTATATATATAATAATATTTATTGTACGCAATGTTTTCAGTAAGATACTCGTATATACATAGTCACCGTCATTAGTGATGATATCCTTGCGTCTATGTATTAGTGGTAGCAAACTATCGATGGCACTATCGATACTATCTATGGTTTTTTTTTTTCTATTGAAAATTTTCCAAATTTAATAGCATTTTCTTCTCTCAAATTAATGTTGCACTTATTATTCTGCCCTGCGCCAGGGCTGTCAAGTTTTCTAGTTCTGTTCTCAGCATCTTCACATGCATATTGCGTGCTCTTTCTTTAAAATGTTGCACTGTGATAATGTTGCCATATAAGGTCAAATTTTTTTCGGGACAAGAAAACGCCATAAGACACAAAAATGGTGAACGGGCATTGTGCAAAGCGGCAATACTTCTATATAAAAGAATATATGGCAACTATGTTGTCCTAACGTCATCAGTAGAATCGGAACGAATTTACAGTAAAGCTGCTTTATTAGTAAACGAACCTAAAACCTAAAAATATTGGCATGCTATGTTCCTTAAATAAAAACGATTGGCTTTAGAAAGCAGAATACGTAAATATGTTTAGTTTTTTTTAAATCATACCTCCATTATTAAGGTAGCTAATTATGGTCTTTAAAAAACTACATTTTACGCAATGGGGGCGTATTCATAGTCAAAATGAAGTTGGTACTTAAAGTTAGTTGTAGCTTTTTAACATAATATTGGATGGATCAATAAAGTTACCACCAATTTGAAGTACCAACTTAATTTTGACTATGAATACGCCCCAATTAGATTTCTATCGTCCACTATCGATACTTTTCCAAATTTAACGAATTTCACTTTAAAGCTGCCAGAATACGTTTATTCGTTCGATCTTGCTTTCGTGTCTTTTTTGAAAGCCTTTCCCTTTGAAATTTACGATGTTTTTTACTACTTTTATTTGCGAACCGTTGACTTCAATTAAATATGTTTATGGAGAAGCAACTATAATTTTTGACCCCATCAGGCGCTTACTTAGACATTTTATCATGTTGTTCATTGTGCTACCACTTATTCGATTTTTGTGGACCGGCAACTGCAAGTAATCCATATGAAGTTGGTAGGCAAAGCGTTGGGTGCTAAAAATAATATTTCGCAGGCAGCTGATGTCCACTCCGGAGAGCTGCTTGGTGGCGTAGCTGTGAAGACAATGCTGTGATAATTCCACGCAGTCGACTACCGATCAGAAGGATATTGTTGGTAACAAAAATTTTGTTACCGGTAAATAAAGTTCCTCTAACTCAACGACATATAAACTCATCTGTCCAAGAATAGTCCACAGGCTGTCATAGGAAGTCCCTAGGAGACTGTTGCTCGATATTAGCGTTGCACCTCTTCCAGCCGCTGTTAAAGTTTCGACATAGTTAGGCTGTTTCCGTTTCTAGAGAATTATATCTGTTCCGTAAGGTGTTAAAAAACTATCTCAGAATTGTGAAAGTCAACTATTACAAGGATTGTACTTTTGCGCACAGTAAATGTTTAAAAATACATTACAAGTTTCAGTTTACCTCAACTCGAATAATGAGGAATTTGTTTACAGAAAGGTAAGTGAAATTTGGCTTCGAATAATTCGGAAGTGGAATATATTATGTGACTACGTATACGAGTACACATAACTCAAACTCATTGAGTATTGAAATTTTTCACTTATAATAATACTTCTTTAAACCACTGTTATAAAAACTAAAGTGCGAGGACAAAACGCTTTGCTGTTAAACACACAAATACACGCGTGTCAGCAATAAAAACAGCAGCGACGTCAACGCCACAGCGACAATGATGAGGATGTTATCCTGCTGTTCCGGTGTCGGTTTAATGCCGTTTATGCTTATTACCAACTCAAAGCTGCATTATGTAGCGCTCACTGTATTTACACTATGATACACTTTATGACTGTATATATATGTGTGTGTGTGTGTGTAGATGAGTGAGTAAGTCAAGCATCACATCACACACCGATAAACAGTGACTAAGAAAGAATTTGTGAAGATATGCAACACTTCCTGTTGCACACATAGATACACACTCACAGCTTACAGGCATGCATCCCCATTTATACAGTTGAATGGTTGGACTGAGCAAGCAACTTCCGTCCTGACAGCTCGTCCTTTTAATATAGCGTCTTCCCGCCAGCCAGACAGACCGTCACTGAGCCAGCTAGTCAAGGTGTCTGTTTGTGCCTCTTTGGGGATTAACTTTACTATGCTCTCGCATTTTTTTTGTTGGTCTGCGTCCTGTTCTGTTGCTGCCTTCGCCACCGCTGCCGTCATCGTTGTCGTAATCGTCATTGTCGTTCAATATGGTTATAAGTGATTCCTCGAAACGCTCATTGGTACGAGTGCGAGCACCAGGTTACCAAGCTGAGCGCACAGACAGTTCAGCTTCGAACAGCAAGCGTGACGGTGGTCTATATAGTGGTACAGAAAACTTCTATGGCGCGTCGGGTCGTAACGGTTGTAGTGTTGGTTGGCTGGTTGGTTGCTTAGTCGGTGCTCAGTGTCAGTGCTGGCGTGTGGTGAGTGCTGAGTTTTGAGTTGCGCATTGTAAGTTGTGAGTGGTGTTGGTACGAGTACCCGTATCGTTGACGACGATGATGGCAACAGGAATTTTCTTGGTCTCGGTGTTGGATTCACTCGCTTGCTGCCATTGTTTGTGTTTTTACCGTTAGTGGTGTTGCTGTTTCTGAATATACCCCATACACACTACACACACACAACCGAGTACACACTATATGGACATACATACATAACTATATAAACATGTGCACGAACTGCACAGCAATGTATAGGTTGCTTTTGGTATTAATGGCTGAGAACATTTACGGCTGCTTACAAATGTTTTTGTGTGTGCGTTTGTGGTTGGCATATAAAATTCTTGGGGACGCAAGGACGGACGTATGCTCTTGCATAGCGTGAATGTTCAGAAATTTCATTTTAGTTCTTTCGTATACTTTGACGTGTCTTTGTCATATTCGACGAGACGACGGAAGAGTGCACATTTTCATATCGCTCTACATGGTATAGTGCACGCCTATGAAGTACCCACCACTCAACACTACCTGAGTCTGCAACTCAGAACTCCGAACTGTCGATATACTCGCAGAAGAAGACAACAACACAACGTTAAGAAACACAAAAAAAAGCAGAAGCACAGAGTGCACGAACAATCAAAGCTGGGACTTAGGTATTAAGGCAGTACTAAGTGGGTATTGCTTGGATAAGCAGCAGCATTTACGTCGTAACGCGCCAAATAAATATTCCACCAACTCACAAAACAAAAAAAGCAAACATAATGCCATACAAATACACAAAAGCGATTTAGCGGATTAACTTAAAGTAAATGAGTGTGCGAGTGCGGTTTTATTGCCGGCGTTAAGGCTCTACATGGGGTTTGTGTTGTATGGAACAAAGTGATTATTGAAGCGCTTAGCGCAACGAATGCTGCGTCGGTCGTCCTTTTTCACAGTTTTCACGGATTTTCGGATTTTTTCTGTGTGTTTGTGCTATATTTGTGTATTGATTATGCTGAAGTCGCTGGGAAGAAAATTCGAAAATTTCGATTTGCACGCAAAATGTGCGAGTCTAAAATGCAAATACAAATCAAAATCGTATTTAATATACAGAAAAAGTTGCGAAAACGATTTGAAATAAACGGAAATTTGAAAATGTGAAAATGAGTAAACGTACAGAAAAGTATCACTAACTACATATATCTATTTTTGCAAACGAAATGAGCTGAAATATGGATCTAAGCCAAAGTTATATAGTATATGAAGATATGTACTAACGCAATCATATATGTATAGTATGAGGCAGCGAAAAGAAATGATCTTTATTTCAGCTTGATATGAGTGCCAACTTAAACAAATAAAATAATATTGAAAATTTCCAACGGAAGGTGTACTCGTATAACAACCATTGTGTGTTTTATATTCAAGCGAAAATAAAAATGTTTACAAGTTCTGAAAATCCCCTTTCTGAAAAAAATATGTACCTATGTTATCTTATCACCCTACTCACTCCGAATTTCCTCTCTAAACTTAACGCTTTTTCATCAAAATCAGATAAAACTTTGAATAAATTTCATCAGGTTTCCAAGATCAATTTCAGAATCAGATTAGAGAGATACTAAAGAGGTGAGTACGAGAGGGATGTACTAAGGGCCTGGAAATTACATGTGAGGGATTCACAATGGTGTCGTATTGTTGTATGTCGTAAACTTTAAAAGCTTAAATAAATGTTTAGAGAACTTGAAACCACAACCAACTATTTTTGAACACTGCAAAAATTCATAATATTACTTTGGTGGTACTTTGTGAACCCCCTTAATATATTTTTTAGGCGTTTAAATTTTACGACATACAACAATACGACACTTACGACACTGTTGTGAATACCTCTATAGATTCACATCTCGGCTTATTTTTCGGCAATGCTCTCGTCTATTGTCCAATCTCTTGGGTGTATTACTGCGATAAACAAACGTCTCATAAAAATCATCGAGGCGGGCGTAAAGATACATTGAGTGTTAAACTTATGGCGTTGTCATTTCTACAAAAAATGTTCCCTTTTTATTGCCCTCTCCTTAGTATTTGTGCGTAGAGGGCACTGAAAAGGCAAAATTTTTCTTTAGAACGTCATTAGTCTTGAAGCATTTTTTGTAAACATAATAAAAGCGCCATCAAAATCTATGACTTTTGGCCAATTTGCGGGTACCATCCTTGAAGGAGTACTCATCTCAAAGAGTCTGCTGCAACGACCCGAATTAATAGTAATAGTAGGCAGCTATTTCTGGTGAATACCACAGGGGCTGTAATACATTTATTTTCTGGCTGTCCAAGTAGTTTCTTCACTGGTTGAATAACTCAGTGAGAGGGGAGACCGGTATGTTTGCATGTATGTATATAAAAAAATATTTATTGCACCAAAAAGTAGTGGGTAGGCACTGTGGCCAATGGTAATCAACTATTACCACCTGTGCATGGTTGTAAGCCATGCAGAGTCCGCAAAATGCTCTGGAAGCAGTGTCCGGAGGATGCATCAGACTAGGCCGAGCATACTTTGAAGTGCCATCTAATTGAAACTTAAGAAAGTTCAATTACATGGCAGTTGAGAAGTGCATATGCAAAAATTTAATAAATTGCATGAAGGAAAATTTTTGCACATGCAGCAGTACATAGCACGAATTTAGGCGCCCGGTGTTAGCAGTCGCGCCTAACCACTGGTTAAAAACCGGTTATTATGGCGTGGCGGTTATTATTTTGAGATGTTATAAATCTACACTTTTCACACGCCGCCAGATAGAGATTTCTGGCTTTGATTGCGATAAATCGGCTTCACCGTGCCGTACTCAAGTGTTTTTGCGTTTCGGTGTCCTTTGTAGAAAACTTTTCCTTTTTTGTCTTACAATCAACATTTCATAAGTGATTTCTCGATTACCGTGAATTCTGCCTGATTGGTACAAAACCTTGCATTTTCAAACGGTTTCAAAAAATACTTGACACTTTAATCAAAATAATATAGATATTTAAATAAATAAGTACTACGAAAATGATTGGAAAGCCAAAATTTTTTTGGGGTCTCACCTTCGATAACTTATATTCGAATCGAGAATCAGGCCATTTCCAGCAAAACGGAACTTTCGTTATCCAAAGTATTTTCCCTTCCTTCCTACCCGCCCCTTACAGAAAAACACAAATGTGTTTCAGAAAAGGGCAAATGTATCTCAGAAAAGCTCAAATATATTTCAGAAAAGGCCAAATGTATTTCAGAAAAAGCCGAATGAAATTCAGAAAAGCACTATTGTATTTCAGAAAAGTTCAAATGATTTTAAGGAAAACGCAATTGTATTTCAGAAAAGGGCAAATGTATTTCACAAAAATATTTTTAGAATACAGTTGTGCTTTTCTGAAAATAATTTGTGTTTTTCTGAAATACATTTGCCCTTTTCTGAAACACATTTGTGTTTTTCTGAAAATCATTTGGGCTTTACTGAAATACAATTGTGTTTTTCTGAATTTCATTTGGCTTTTTCTGAAATACATTTGGTTTTTCTGAAATATATTTGAGCTTTTCTGAAATACATCTGAGTTTTTCTGAAATACATTTGTGCTTTTCTGAAATTCATTCTGCCTTTTCCGAAATACACTTGTGTTTTTCTGAAATACCGTTGGAAAAGGTGTAGTAGAATGAAGTGCAAGTTTCAAATGGCTAAAAGTAAGCGTTGATTTTTAAGAAATACTGGTTAAAGAATAAACTATATTTTTATAAAAAAATAACTAGAATTAAATAAATAATAATTTTTAAAAATTTTCAATATATGGTGAGGATATAATTTGTTCTATTTGGTCCCTGCTCAAGTGCTTTTTGTCAACAGAGCTTTTCACTGTGTAAGTTGGCAAAGGAACTTTTTTTGTAAGGCTTTAGTGTCAGAATAAACCAAATCTTTAACACCATCGTACCTACTGTCTTTCAATTGTCTTACATTAATTGTCGTTAGTTGTCGTCTGCTCCAGCTGCTTTATTGTTTTTCATAGTCCGATTTTCATAGTCCGGCGGTGAGTCATCTATTGCGCCCTCCTCGACGATTGGCTCGGATTCATCTTATCCACTGGTTTTAGTATTGTTGCAATTTACTTGTCCGTCTGGTCTTAATTTAGTCTCTTTTTGAACAGAATTAAACATCGAAAGTTTTTTCTTCAAACAAAAGGATGATGCTGAAACAAAAATCCCAAGTTTAATTTGTGAAACTATACAATGAAATATAAAAAAAATATCAAAACAAAATGCTAAGAAAGATATATGTATGAATGAAAATCACGAAAATTCAAAAAACTTGCGCATCCCTATCGAAACTTCTGCCCTAAACGATTTCCATTTTTTCCAAGAAAATTTATACCCAAAAATGCATTGTCTCTGCAGTAATAATTGCTCACGAAATTTTTCTTTTTCTGCCCCTGTGGTGTGTGTGTGTGTTTGTGTGCGCTTTAGTGAGTGATACAACCTCGCGCTCTTCGGCGATTTGTGAACAAGGCAATATTCGAATATAACCAACCGCAGAACAACAACAACAAAAATACAGAGGACTATGTGAAATCCACTTTTTGGCGTGTGTACCTTGCAACATCCTTTGTAAGGCGCGCGCTGCAAATTTATGCCTACTAGCCGCAGATATACGAAAAATAAGAAAACAAAAAAAAACACGGAGAGCACTGCCGAGAGTGTTTGAGAGTTGTACGCGGGAGCACAAATACAATTTTTTTGTTTGGTTTTTCTTCAACCAAATGCCAACAAGTTTAAGTGCAGTTCAAGAAACAACACAAAAAAAAAGCAAAACGAACGAAACACGAGTAACACCCAACAATTAAAGTGACAGCTAACAACAAGAACTGCAGTAGAAGAGTCAGCAGCAGCAGTGGCAGTGGCAACCGAACGTGAAAAGTGCAAAATACACAATATTCAACAACAACAACAACAACAAAGGAGCAAAGTTCATGCTCGAACTCTTTAGGCAACACACAGCAGTAGAAGAAAAAAATAACAACAACACGCAAACGTGTAACGCAATCAGAAGCTGACACTCCCATTTCACATCAGTTAGTTATGTGCCGTGCGTTGGTACTTGTGCACCGGAAACTACAACAACAACTATTACAAATGATATAACGCGTAACCTCCTTCCCTTTCCCTCTTCGTTTGTTGTATGCTTATGTGCCTATGTACCGTGCCGACCGCATAGAGCGTAGCGGCATGTCGTTATCCTTGCATTTTATTGCGGTTAGTGTATGAGTGGCTTCTGCTGACTGCCTGCTGAAGGCTGAAGGCTGGCTTTGTCTTCCGCCCCCCTTACCGTTAGTCTTTTGTTTGCTCTCGTTTGTATGTGTGTATGTGTGTGTGTGTGTGTGAAGTGTTAACAAAAGTCTTTCAATAATTGNATGTGTGTATGTGTGTGTGTGTGTGTGAAGTGTTAACAAAAGTCTTTCAACCCCTCTAATAATTGTTCTACACTGCAAACTAGGATTCTTTATGCGGTGCTCTGTTTTGCCGTCGCTGCCATTAAATGCACCCCTCCTGCATTGTGTGCGTGAGCGTGGGTGTTTTTGCCATCGCACCACCAGCGCAACGCAATTGTTTCCGCTATTGTTTACCTTTTGTGTGTGGTTTTTTTTTTTTTGTAGATTGTTTCCATGGACAATGCTCTGGTTACTTATACTCTTTCGTGTTGTGGTTGTTGTTTTTGGTATGGTGTTTGTTTTTNGTTTCCGCTATTGTTTACCTTTTGTGTGTGGTTTTTTTTTTTTTGTAGATAGTTTCCATGGACAATGCTCTGGTTACTTATACTCTTTCGTGTTGTGGTTGTTGTTTTTGGTATGGTGTTTGTTTTTAATTTTTTATTTTTTTTGCTTGATTCGCCCGATAGTTAAACCACCATTAATATGCAATTTAGTGTTTTCTCCCCTACATCGATGTACAATCAATCGCATGCATCTTATTAAATGTAAATAGACAGACAGACGACGTTGAGTTGACGTGAAACGCTGCAGGACTCAATGAGAGCTGACGTGTGCCTCATCCACAAAAGCCACTAATCGTTCGTATCATAATCAAAACACAGTGACACAGTGGTGTTAAAACATTAATCGCAGCAGTGAAAAAATTGTGTTTAACTGTAATTAAAATACAGTATCTCAAAAAAAACAGTTGCAAGTTCTTGTACGTTGCGCCGCTCTTAGACGCACGCACGCGCGCGCGCACACTCGCTCTCTTCTTCATAGGCTCGCGTTTAGTTCGTTCGCACGCACGCAAATTCTCTCACACGCCGCCTCTCACGTTTCATTCCCGTTGCATTTGTGTCAGCAATAATAAATAGATGATGGAATGGCTACCGAGAGGATTGCCCAGCATCCATGCACCGATACCGATTTGTGGTGAGTTGTTGGTAATGTTATCTATCATCAAAATGTATTTACCTTGTATGTATGTATGTATGTGTGCATGGCTATATGTAAACACAAACCCATGTTTGCAGGAGTATGTACAAATCTTATTGCAATTCAATCAAAATCAAAATTTCATAACATACATACATATGTATTCATTTTGACACAATTTGTGTGTAATTGTGGGTATTCAATTTTCGTTTGGCCTCGTCTTATTATACTCATATTGGATGAGATAATTTGTTAAATGCCTATGCATATGTATGGCGTTGGCGGCCGCTGTGGCTGAGTGGCTAGAGGTGCGTGCTATCACTCCGTAGGACATGGGTTCGATCCCTGGTCCCGGCAGTCAATGGAAAAGCTTCGAGTGCACTTTAGCCATGAAAAAGCAACATTTGGTCTTCGGTGGGTGGCGTAAAACTTAGGCTTCTTCCATTTGTGTGACAACAATAACAGCATAGATAGACGGCAGCGTTGTTACCGGTTATCGAGAATTAACTGCATGCCGATTAAGTGCTATAGTTAATTTTCAAACCTGGTATTCAGTAAGTCAGTCTCATCTCAATTAACTACATTGGGAATATAAATTCGTGACTATTTTTGGTAATTTGAGACGATTTAGGTATTCAGTAAGAGAAAGTCACAAAAATTTCTAAATGGTGATGAATAAGTAGATATAGTAATATGTATACTAGGGCGGGTCAATGTTATTTGACCCTGAGCGTATAGCATAGCAGCATTCTACGTGTATTTCTAAGCAAATTTACCGAAGAAACCATTTTTCTAAAATCTATTTGGAGTTTGCCAAATTGTGAAAATAGGTTTCGAAGAAAAAGTGAAAGGTGGAGGTTTTAAGAAAAAGGTAAGTGCAGAAAGGAATTCCTCATAACAAAAAACCTCCTATAGTATGTGTTTTTTTTTACAAAATTTAAGCACTTCTTTACGTCACTACAGCAAAATGTTAATAAACTTATTTTCGCAATTTGGCAAACTCCAAATCAATTTTAGACCCATGGTTTTTTCGGCAAATTTGCTTAGAATTTCACGTAGAATCTTTGTGTTAAACGCGCAATCTCCCATACAATTGACCTGCCCTAATATACTAAAATAGCATTCGAGAGATCCGAGGTTCGAATCCTCGAGCAGTGGATTTTATTTTTTAATTTAATCCTTTTCTTTTTTAAGTTGAATTTTGTTTAATCTTTAGAGTTAATGAAATTGTTGTTAAACAAATATAGAAAGCAATTACATACATGAGTACATGTTCCGCCTTATTTTCCTTTACGTGACCTGCTCAGTGCCAGACAAAAAATTAATGACTTTTTTGAATACTTTACTGAATATCTAACAGTCTAAAAATCGATGCTCATTACGAAAAGACTATTACTGACTAGAGACTGCTTACTGAATACTGCCATTAATGCGCAACAGGGGCATTTTCGATGACAATACTGACCAAAACGCAGAGAACGTAGAACATAGAGAACATTCAAAACTAGCCTAGACATCTTGCTCACATTTACCATTCTAAGTCAAATAGGAATCCATTTAGAAATTGAATAAGAACTTATTTGAATTAGTATGGTGAATGTGCTACCGTCGACGAGGTAGATGTCCAGGTTGGTTTTGCATATTCTCTTTACTCGTAAGCTATATTCAGTAAACACTCTCTAGTCCCTAATAGTGTATTTTCATAGTGAACATCGATTTTGAGACTATTTGGTATTCAGTAAGCTGTCTCACGTCTCTAGCCCACGGCTGCCATAAGTCTGAACCCATCGACCAGCACACTAATCGTGCAAATTAGAAACGAAGATACAAGTGAATATGGTGCAAATATATTCCTTATAAGTACAGTTGCTTTGGTTTCGGCATTTCATTGTTTTGAAGAAATTTCTGATATTATAAGCAATGCAGTTTTGTGGCATAATCCGTAATAGGCGGCATACACGGTGCGTCTGACTCGCGAGTCATTTGTGTACGTGTTGATTCGCCTTCGACTACACACAGTTGAATCATTCAGAGTCATTCCAGGAGTCATGTCGGTGTAACTAAGAGATATTTAAAAAAATACTTAGCCAATAAATGCTAAAAAGGGGGTTTCCCTGCATGCCCCCTAGAAAGGGTTTTCCTATTTACAATTTACGCGAATGTACATAAGTAAACATATATTATTTAGCATTAAAAATTAAATTCAATACGCGTTTTAAGCCTCAATAAAGAATACTGCTACCAAAATGTGAAAAGGTGCCAAGTCCACATTTTTTTTCAAAATTTAGTTTTAGATGCGGAAAGACGGATAATGCAAAACTACGTCGGTTTTTCTTCTCTCCTGAATAATTAAACAAAAGATGGACTTGGCACCTTTTTACCTTTAGATAAAGATATTTGATATGAACCATGAAACAGCTTTAAAAGAACTTCTCCAATAGGCCTTCTGGAAGCTCTTCTTTGGGTAGCGAAAGCAGAAGTCCTTTAATATATGCCAGTCCATACAAAAAAAAAGAAGGAGAAAGGAATGACTTTCCGCAAGGCCTTTTGGAAGAGATTTTAGCTCCTGAAATTATCTACTGGGTAGTATGTATGACCCCTTAACCATGTACCTGTCCTTGTTGCACTTTTTTCGCATTTTTCTGAAGATAAAAAAGTAAAATTTTTACCAAATAAATTAAACAGAAAAAAGGTAAATTCACGTTTGAAAACTTAACCTATTTTTCATAGCAAATATCTGCCAAAAATGAAATGGGTGTTCTGCATTGACCTTCATTAAAAAAACAGGACAATTTAAGTGTTGACAAGGGCACCAGAACAATTTATCTAAAACCAGGGCGAATCCTGGAAAACCGGGACATCTGGCAGCCCTACCTTGCCTCAAAAAAGGAGGGAGATCAAACCTCCGAACACTTCTTAAAAATCATTTCGATTTTTTTTTGTTTTTAACAGACTTCAAAAAAAAGGAGGAGGTTATCAGTTCGTCGCTATATATATATCGTCGTTTAAAGTGCAAAACCGCGTATTAACAAAATGCAAAACCGCGTATCAGCAAAATCCAAAACCGCGTATGAGAAGTTGTAGAAATTATTTTCTAGAGTGTAAAAACACCCATATTTCAAAATGGTTGCCTTTTTTATAAAGCAATCGCATTTCTGGCAAGTATATTACAATCCTTGAGCCAAGAGCTTGTGTGAGCAAGTCCAATTTTTGGCAGCCAATGTCAGTTACGCGGTTTTGCAGAATGACGATACGCGGTTTTGTACTTTAAACGACGATATTTATATATATATATATATTTTTTTTTTAATGTATGTTACCGCATAACTTTGGACCACGTTAACCGATTGCGATAATTCTTTTTTATCGGAAAGGTGGTACCTCATTTCGTCACTGGACACGAATAAAGGCGCGAGCTCAAAAGCTGCCGGCGAAAAAAGATGCACAAAGGAACTTCAGCGTCAAAGACTCTTAACATACTTCGCCGAAGTTTTTCATAAGCATCTTTTTCGCAAAATTTTTTTACGCGCCTTTTTCGCCGTCAAAACACTAGCGCGCCTTTATTCGTGTGTAGTGATGATTTGTTTTGTTAGTTTTGTTTAGATCCGATAATTGGATCGTGAAGAAATTAACGATAATCTTAAATTTTTATATGAGAAATGAAGTCAGTTTTGTTTTTTGCTTAATAATTACTTGTTGTTTTAAAAGAATCGAATGGCTTTAAATGTTAAAGAGCCTTTTACTAAATAGTACAGGTTGAGACTTTTATCTGTCTTAAATATGAATTATGCAGCAAAAATTCAATATAACATGTGTGTTGCACTATAGCTTCATGCAAGGATATTGGTGAAGGCCGTTTTGTTCAATAACCTATCGCCATTTTGAAGGTATGTGTCTTTAATAGAAGCCTTGGTTCCTGATTTCCACAAATCTTTCTTGAGTCGAATTTTTCACCAGCAAAAACGTTCGCCATAGACAGAAACAGGTGGTAATCACTTGTTAGAGGTCAGGACTATAAACAAAAACTGAGTCAACCGATTTCAAAAACACTGGGTTCATTTGCCACTCCATTACAATATTAACACACAAAATTATCTTAGCAAGGGATTGAGGTGGGGATTGAGGAAGTTGAGAAACTGGAATTTTTTTTTTTGATATTTTACATGTGTTAATTGATTAATATTAACGAAGACTATTTTTTTTCTTCATAACTTTCAGTTCCCCCAAAGAGTGGCCAAAAGCGTCCAGCAACAAGCCCAGCTCCTCCCATTCCCTCTCCGCATCACATCCAATCTCCCTCCACCACACCCGGTGCTGGCAATAGCAGCGGTGCCACATCGGCAGCGCAAATGTCATCCAATCCGGCGTTGATGAACCACGTTATGCCCCCCAATCAATTGAGTGGCTTGCAAGCCGCTTCGTTGCAACAACAACAACAACAGCATCAGCAACAACAACAACAACAACAACAACAACATCAGGCCCATCAGCAGGCCGTAGCTGCCGCAGCAGCAGCCGCGCAAGCTCAACAACAAATGGTAGGCGTACCGAATGCTTTAAATGCGGCACAATCGAGTGGACGGGGGCCCTTCGCTTCCGCCCTGCGTAATTTGGCTAAGCAAGCTGATATTAAAGAGGAAGATGAAATCAATGTACGCGGCGAACGTACAGAACGCGCTGTGCAGCTAAGCGCTGGTGGAGGCGGAGGCGGCGTGGGTGTACCAACCGCCGTGAGTGTCGCCAATACCAATGTCAATGTATCTAATTCGGTGCGTTCTTCAATGGCCAATGAACGTCTGCCTTCAACCGGTGGCAGTGGGCCCGTTAGCAGTGTCGACGAGCGCTTAATGGCTAAAAAGCGCGCTGCAGCGTCGCCGCAACCGGGTGAGAAGATTGCGCGCATAAGTTCGCAGCAATCGGTGCAAATGCAGCCTGAGCTGTTGGCGCGCAGTGGCTTCCAGCCTTATCGGTCAGATGAGCGTCTCATACATCCAGCTGGCGCTTTCCCTTTGGATGCCTACGCCACCTTCGCTGCTTTGCCAACGATGCCGCCAGGTAAGTTTTCGCTTTATGCAAGAGTTTTGTGGATTTTGCTGTAATTGAAAAATTATATGTTTGTAGGAGCATTTTTGAGTCCAGCTGGCCTGCCTTATTCCGATCAACTGTACTTAGACCAACGCTTTCAAATGCTACGTGCCGCCGGCTCCCATCATACCCATCCACATGCCCTATATCCGCCAATGGCTTCGCCTTACGCCTCCCATCTTTACTCCATGATACCAGGTGCTGCGCTCGGCTTGGGTTCCGCATTGCATGAACGCATGAAATTGGAAGAGGAGCATCGCGCACGTATCGCTAGAGAGGAGGAGCGCGAAAGGGAATTGCAAAGAGAAAAAGAGCAGAGAGAGCGCGAACGTGAGCAAAGAGAACGCGAGCAACGAGAGAAAGAACAACGAGAGCGTGAACAGCGAGAAAAGGAGCAACGTGAAAAGGAACAGAAAGAAAAGGAAGCACGCGAACGTGAGTTACGAGAGAAGGAGCGGGAGGCAAGAGAACGGGAGCGTCAAATACTCTCGGCATCGCATCACTATACAAGCCAGTTATATTCGCCCTTGGGGCGTAACTTGCTCGGACCGATGATGCCACACTTGGGCTTGGGTTTGCGTGCGCCACCTGGTGCGCTGCATAGCCTGCCACCGATGTCAGCCTACCACGCGGCGGCAAGCCAACGCCAGAGTCCTCACGCAGCAATGGGACTTAATCTAGGCTTGCCTGGCCTGGGCGGTGTGACATCGCTTACGCATGGCCCCGGCAGCTTGCCGCACCACCTACAGTCCTCAGCGTTAGGTTTGCCACATCCAGGTGCCGCTGGTCTAACGCATCCAGGCTTTCCCGGCGCTGCATTAGGGTTGTCCCACCACGGTCTCAATTTAACACATCCACATATCTCACCACACCATCCGGCAATGGTGCCCAGTCATCAAATTTCACCACACTCATCTATACCATCAACCTCTACCACTACTACATCGCCGCACAATTTGAATTTGGGTTTGCAAAGCAATGCGGGTGTCAGCATGAAGGTATCGGTGCCCAATAGTGTTTCACAATCCCCTGTATCGGGTTTGCAATCCTCCAGCAGCATGACTCAATCCACTGCAACGCTCTCCTCACACATTCCGCAAATGAGCAACTCTCTTTACCACTCGCATCACACTAGTCAGCATATGGCCACCGCTGGACTGGCGCCCGCATCTGCCCATCAGCAGCCGCCGAACTCAATGCCGCTCTCGCTAACTAGCAATTCAGGCCGTAGCCACTCGGCATCACCGATCACAATGAAATCAGTCCAACAGCCCTCCAACAACCCGAGTATGCATAATCAAAACGGCGGAAGATCTGCCAGCACCCCACATCCATCACGTCAGCATGGCATTAGCGCGGCACAGCACCAACAAAATGTGTCAGTACACGAGAAGTCAAATGCGTTGACATCCAGCGCTCTAGAACCCGCCACGCTGGATTTGACCGGATCTAACTCGAATTCCAGCGTACAGGTGTCCTCCGTGGCCAGTAGCGGTGGTCACAATACACACACCAATGAAGTGAACGGTGGTGGCGCAGAAGCAGCCGCCGATAAAGAGCGTAAAGATGCTGCTGCAATGGCGGCGTCTTCTAAAAATCTCGCCACCAATGTAAGCACCACCGATAAGAGAAGTCCTTCGATATCGCCGCCAGTTTCCGCCAAAGATAATACCGTATACAATGTGGGTGTGTCGCCGCATGCAGAAGAGGCAACACGTCAATGCAGTCCGAATAGCGCGATGCCAACAACTGCAGAGCCTCATACATCCGTATCACCACCAGCAAAGCAGCCAGCCGCCGGTAGTGATGCAATTGTTGCAGCCAGACAACATGTTGGAGCAGGAGAAGCAGCTGGTTCAGGTAATTACAGCAACAGTACCAAAGCTATGACCGTACCTCCAGACAACAGTGTCAAGCCTACGAGTGACCCCAGCTCCAGTGGTGGTTTTACACCTAATTCTCAAAGTGTATCCAGCGATGTAGCGCCGCCGATGGCAAGTGCGACAGAAGCACTACAGCCGCCAGCAACACCAACCAACACCACAAACACTTCGCCCACGACGACAACACCGGATGCGGGCGCCACTGTAGGTGGGGTAACTTCCACCACCGGTGGCAGCACCTCGCCGCCAGTGGTAAGCAGCAGCACGAATATTGTAAACAATAAGCCACACAAAGCTAACTGCGATGAGACCGTGTCCAGTGCGACGTCGACTACGACCACTGCCGCTGTCGAAGTGAATGGTGGTGGTTGTGCGGGTGGTGTTGAGGGTGGTGGTCGGTGATGCTGTGTTGCTGCGTGTCTCTCTGTCTGGTGGCACCATCATCGAAAGCGGGCAACAGCTGTACTTTTTCGCTCATATAAATATTTAGTAACTGTAACTACTGTGTAACTATAAGAATAAGCCAAGCTTCATGCCATGTACTACTACCCGCTGTTGGATATCGCCGCCCACTCCGTTGTTCTTATTTTCGCTAATCTCCAAATACTTTACTTCTAACACAAACTTCCTTTACTTCTAACACATTGAACTATCGGTTTATACTTTAACGTTTAAGCAGCAATTTATTATCGGGACTATGCGTTTATGTGTTTGTTTGAATTTAGTTGTAGTGTAGTTTTCAGTTAACTTTTATTTTAATTCACTTTTCATTTGATTTCAGTTCTAGTTTAGTTTCTTAAGAATTATCTACATATACGTTGAGTTCTAATTAAGAATTAAACATATAGATGGTAGAAAAACAATTTGCTAACACCACACAAATAATAATTAATAATAAATAACATGTGCAAATTATTCAATTTCAAAATTACATCTTTTTTGAATTTATGAAATAAACTTTGCAACCTAAATTTGAAGACTGTGTTTCTACTATTCTAGTTATTTATTGGTTGTTGTTCGTTTTTTTTTTTTTGTGAAATGGCTGCTTTTGTTGATTAAATTTTTTGTATGTTTTTATTATTTTAATAAGAGGTCGTGAGAACCAGAGTATGCTAACCATAATTTATAGAAAAAAATAAAAATAGAGATGTTGCAAAAATTATATAATTAGGTGTTGCTTATAACGACAGCAACACCCGTTTAGCAACAATTTTCTCAGATTTTGCCAAACAAGTATTAGATACAACCATACCTAATTAATTATTTTCCACCATATTAAGAGTTTTTTGCAGATAAAGTACTTTGATTCTGACTGTTGCCTTATATATGTATCCCCACCGCTACATTGATTTTTTTCTCACGGGAGAAACTAAAATCTCTTTTGAAATGGGTATTGTAGCCTTCGACTTCGAAATCTCCAAAACTTGTTTAAGTGTTTTCACCGCATCTTCTTGTGATTTCGTTAACATTTTGTGGTTTGTACTTGATTTTACAATAAAAATGGTGGCATATCTTAACGCACTTACCTCAACAACAGTACCATGCAAATGCAAAAAAACGCTTTGAAAAAAGCGCCATTAAAATCTGCTCTCAACTCGCTTTTAATTAAAGGCTTGGTACAAATTTAATAGCTTACAAATATTTTCAACTTTATAATAGAGCCTTCGTTCTCGCGAGAGCCTTTGGCCTTCTCACAAGATTCTCGTGTATTGAAAACCTCGTTATATTCGCGCGCTTTTCAATGCTTAATTTTAGGCTGCGTGTTTAATTTAAGGTATTTAAACCATGAAATGTTGAATTTCGTTCAAACGCAATATTAGTCTCGCTCCAGAATATAAACTATGTGCCTGTCCACCCCTCAAGAAGTCCCTTTGCAAATACCAGATTCCACTGTTCATATTAATTTATTACTTTTACTCACTCTCTTTGTGTCGGGAACTCGAGTATCGAAATACTCCAGAATGTGCGTGCAGAGATTTCCTAATTAAAATAAACCGAGATTTCCGAGTTAAAATTTGCGTATTTTTAAACTTTTCTGTATTTTTTTTTTACAAAACCTCAGAAAACTATAATTTTATATTTTTATTTCTTTCGAAAAATTTTCTAACAAAAAATACTTTTTTCTGAGAAGTTTTAAACCTTATTTTTGAGACAAAAATTATTTTCGAAAACAATATTCTGTTAAAAAAACTACAAAGCAAATATGTGAGCATTGTAACAATGAAATTAAAATTATATTATTTTCACTTTTTTTTGCTAAATATTGTTTTTTTTTTCAATGTATTGCTTTTATTTTCTAAATATTGTTTATTTTTTTCAAAATGTTTGTTAGTTTCAAGATATTTTTTTCAAAGCGTTGTTTTTTTCAGATTACTTATTTTAGTTTCAAAATAGTTTTATAAATAAAAAATATTTTAAGAACTACACAATATTATTATTTAAAATTGTAATTTTTTTAATTTGTTGCTTGAAAAATTAAAATTGATTAGAACTAATTAAAAAAATGTCAAATCACAAATGGAATATTGTTTCTAGTTTTTTCTTAACATAACCTTAAAAAACCTAAAAAAAAATAAATGTTAATAGTTTTACTTCTTTCAAAAATTCAAAAAATTAAAATCTGAGAGAGGTGTTGATCTTTTTTTGAAACAAAAATTAATTTCGAAGTTTAAAAAACGTCCAAAATAGTCGCATACTTCACTTAAAAATTAATTTTTATATATTTTCTATTGGCTATGAGTTTGTGCATTTAATGTAATAACGATTCTCGATTCAATTTAAGTTCCCTTATTTAAACATACAATTTCAAATGCTATGATGATAGTTTTCTTAGCTCTGGAGATATTTACCATAAACTGTATATATTGCGTCATATGAAAGGCCGTCTCAGTTTCTTGACAAAATTTTTGAAAAAGCTTTCTTTATTAAAAATTAATTTAAATCAAGTATCTACAGGTTGGCCATTATTATCTATGACCTTTTGCCATTTTTTCGGTTTATCGGTGAGAAACTTAGCCAAGTGATTTTCAGTGGCTCTTCGGTCGGCCAATGTTTTACTATCAATAGAGTTTTGTAGAGAGGTCAGAGGGTGCAAGGTCCGGACACTGTACGATGGATGCACTAAAACTTCTCAACCAAGCTCCGTCAATTTTTTCCGAGTCATTTAAAGTGTGTGCTTTGGCTTTGCTGGTCAATCTTTGACATAAAAAGTTCCGCAACGGAATTAAGTAAACCACTCCTGAGTCCGGTGCACAGTGATCTGAAATCAAAAAGTAGGGTTCAAAATAGCTCTCAGGCTCTAAGCCTTATTTTTCAACAGATTTATTTTTTATTTCTATTGTTTATAAATTTTTTTTAGTGCAAAGTGCAGAGGAAGTAGTAATTTTAAAGAAAATCTGTTTCTATTAAGAAATGTTAGATAATAAAATGTGGTTGAAAACAATTATAGGGTTCCCCAAGAACGAGAAAAATATTCCACAAAAAAAATTTGAAATATAAAAAAAAATTGCACAAAAATAAAATTTTGTTTTGAGTTTTTAGACAAATTTTAGGTGTGCAGTTTTAGAATTTTAGTATAATGAAATCAAAATTTTGAGTGATTAATTTTTCTACAAATGAAAAAAAAAATAATAATTTTTGATCTCAGACTTCACTTACAGCATTCCCACCGTACACTTCAATGTATTTTCATGTTTTTGCTGAGTTTTCTTTTTGTTTTGTAGTAAAAAATCATTATATAGCGTATTTCTTCAGATATTTCACTCATTTTCAAATAAATATAACTTTTTGCATGAGCGACGAGTTGCAGAACTGTCTTCGCTAAAAATGTAGCCTAAAAGTTCACGCTTCAAACGCATTCCATTGACGCAATTGGATTAGTGTTGCCAGATGTAGGGGCATGAACACTATCAGGCCAATTCTGTACAGAAGCTCCCTGGGAGTTTTCTCTTTTTTCCCTTTCCTCCTATCATGAGTAAAACTTCCCAATTTTTTTTTTAATTGCGGAGTTGAGCTATCAAAAAAAACCTCCCAAATTTTCGGGAAAAATGCTACTCCCCGGGAGTTAATTATTGGAAGATTTCTTTCTCGGGAGAAACAAATTCACCCATAACAAACTCCCCAGAAGTATTCAGAATTGGACTGTATATAATGCCAAAATCTTCAGCGACTTTTCCTATGCCCAATATGTCACAATCTTCTACACTCTATTCAGAAGTTGTCATTCACCGCAGGCCCTTTTGATGATATAGCGCCGCCCTCCTGCCCAAAAAATTTACATATAACATTCATTTTCCCCCCTCATTAATTTAGCTCATTACTGAAGCCATAACATTCCAGATGTGGTACAAGCATCCGTCGTTGCACATCCATTGGGCGCGCTCATCTGCAGCAATCGGAGTACACCCGAAGAGGCTAATAATGCATCGGCTTCATGACATCCATTCTTCAATGCGGCCAATAAGTAACTGCTGAAAAATATGAATGAATTCGGAATGTATCTGCTGGCCGAGCATGCGGCATCGTACAATGAGAAGAAGCCCTTCAGCGATAATTTTCTAATAAAATAGGCGAGAAGGCAAAGACGAGAGGATCACTAGCGACGATGAGCGGCTAACTACTGTTGATAAGCGCTCAACAGCCGATTGGATTACAACAAATGGATGTTTGTTAAAATACTTTTTCAGTATTTGATGTACTATATGTATGTAACCTATGTATGTATGCATGTAAATGAGACTTTCAGAAAATTATGAAGATAAGGGTGGACCTATGAAAGTTGCGGCAACAAGTCTTGAAAGTTAGGCAAATTTTGAAATTGCAAATAATTACAAAAACCAAAAAAAAAATAATAATTAAATAAAATACACAAAAAACATACATAAATATTAAGAAAAAAATTAAAATATACACACACAAATATTGTGATTTTGGAGAGTACGAATTGGTTAATAACAGAACTGAAATTTTTAGGCAATTCAAATAAGTCTGGAAATGAGATACAACAAAACAAATGCAGCGCGATAAGAATATTTTTTGAAATTTAAATTTTACGTACATAAAAGGTTAGTTGAAATTGTCTCAAAAGCAAAGTCTTGTAAAGAAATAAACTTTTAAGTTTTATGTAGGGACTTTGATTGAAGTTGTTTCTCTGAGCTGAGAGGTTATTGGGGTGTATTAAAAATTACTAAATAAAAAAAAATAAATAAACAAATAAATATATGTATATGTACTATATGTATGTAATTATTGTATCTATTGTACGAATAATGCGACGATTATGTTAAACTTGCAATTAGCTAAGCCAAGCCCAGCGCTGCTTTTCGTTTCGTGCGAATCTCACTACTACTTACAAATTTAAGTACGAGTATTTTTATTGTAATTATTAGATATATACTACATATAGATAAATGTGTGTATGCGTGTGTGTACAAATAACTTTTTGCGAATACTGTAATATATTTAAAAAATAATAATGATATTTATTAGAATTTTCGTCTAATGCAACGTGAACTATTTAATAATTAATAAAATTAAATATGAAATAACGAACTCAATACACACAAATGCAAAAAATATACATACTTAAATAACAACAAAAACGAAAAATTCATACTTATGTAAAAAAGAAAAATTAATTATTGATGTTAGTTTCTTAATTGTACAACGTTTCGATAAGCTACTGTGAATTACAAACAAAACCAAAATAAAAAAAACACAAAAAATATGAATATTTATAAATATTAAAATAATACGAAATACCAAATTTTATGAAATTAAACGCGTAAATGCAGAAAATATTGCATGAGTACTAAATGGAAACAATTATTGTACTAATTAATTATTCACACCGGTTTAGTTTTTTATTCATTCGGCAGTGGAGATTATTTTTTAGATACATTTTTATTTATTTATTTATTTTTTTTTCAATTTCAAAAGTTGGCTTAACTAAACGAGTTCGGTAATGCGTATTAAATCA